CTTTCATTTTCTTGATCAGGTGTTCCAGGCCGAGAGTTGCAGGCCCAGCATATTGAAGATCACGGTCATTTCAGTACCCAAGTTGGAAGTTATTGTTTGTATATAGTTGTGGTTTCTTTTTCTTTTACATGTGTCTGTTCCAGTTCTTTTTTTTTTTACTCTTTATTCTTTCCCTCGATCGTTAGTTGATGTTGTTTTTATATGAACGCTCTGGAAAATGCAATAAAAATTATTTTAAACAAAAGCTAGGTTTCTTTGGTTCTGTGGTCATGTCTGCCGGCTCCATCCTTCAGAGCTCTGGGATGTAATCCATCAGGTCCTGGTGATTCAAACTGCTGGTTCTCCTCCTTTGCACAAATAGCAGCAAGAGCAGCTGAAGTCTGGCTATCACATTTTTGTCTGCAAGTTGTTGATATTTTGAAGTAATTTAAGTGTATATTTTTGGGGGAGGCAGTTGCCCCAAACCCCACTCAAATAAGAGACCCATCCTTTGTTCAGGTTTACAGATTATCTGATGAGACAATAATTGAAACATCTATAAAAGCAGCCTCTAATTTCTTTCACGTAGCTATATGCAAATCCTGAAGACAAGTATACTCAATAATAGTATTAATCCATTATTTCAAGGTGGACTAAAAAGTCCAACACCCCCCGCCTCCCACTCAAGCAGGAGACCCTATACCCATTCCAGACAAATGACCCTCCTGACTCTTCTTGAAAACCTCCAGTGAAAACCACCCAGGACTTCCAGAAGAAAGCTGTTCCAGTGATGAATTGTTCCCACTGTCAGGAAACGTCTCTTTCGTTCCAGGATGGATCTCTCTTTCATGATGTTCCGCCCGTTATTTCTTCCCCTCCCCTCAGGACAATATAAAGATGGTGAAAACAGCAGGACAAGCAACAAAGGCCAAAAAGGAAGATGCTGAAAAGCCTGTGGTCAGTCTACTTCTGGAGAGTCACACTGCAAGTCAGAAAGTCACACCATGTCCCCGTGTTGGGCACAGCCGGTTGGAAGGCCATCTAGCAGGCTTTGGAGATGGCCAACACCCAAAGTTCTACATAGGAATGACCCTAGAGAACGGGACATTTTGGATTCTATGTTCTCCTATGATAGTCCTAAAATGTAGCCAGAGTCATAATCACCAAACCATCAATGAGTGTTAGACTGAGAACTTGGGCCTCTCCTGCATGACGGCAAAACTGATACCCGATGTTGGAACATCATACATCTCTGCCCTGATATAAACTCTTTATAGCACTTCAGTCATGAAGAAGGTTTAAAAACATGACCGCTATGGGGTTACCGGCTCCTTATTCCCACACAGCTGGAACAGAGTGAGGATTGCTCACTTTTGGCCATTCGGGAAAACTAGTGAAAAATATGTTTTCTACTTGCAGTGGCCCCCAACCTTTTGGGCCCCAGGGACCAGTTCTGTGGAGAGAATTCATGAACGAATACAAGAGTAAATGAACAAGGAGCCGGTAACCACATGGCTGTCATGTTTTTAAACCTTCATGAAGTTTTATAAAGTTTATATCAGGGAAGAGATGTATGAAATTGATCAAGCCTGCCTTCAGAAGGGGTAGGTGCTCCATTACTGGAGGTTTTCAAGAAGAGACAGGACAGCCATTTGTCTGAAATGGTATAGGATCTCCTGCTTGAGCAGGGGGCTGGACTAGATGACCTCCAAGGTCCCTTCCGGCTCTATTCTGAATTTGAACTTAATTTTAATAAATCTGAATTTAAATGGTCTACACACATACAGATACTCAGGAAAACTCCAATGGCCATATATTGATGCTGAGGAATTTGAAAAAGAAATGTTTGCATTTTTTAAAATTATTATTATTACCTTTATTTTTGCTTATGGGTTATAATTTTATGCACAGACCTCTGTCACATCTGAAATTAAAGTTCCTTTTAACATTTGGAAACTCTAGATTCTGTCCTAGTATAAGTAAACTTGTAGATAAGTTAAAAATTATTTTTAATTATTATATTCTTAGAAATTGGAGTGATAATGCTATCATCTTTAATCTTTTTTTTATTCATTTATGCTTTGAATGGAATATTAGTTCTTAAAGTGTTAAACTGATAAATGATTTTGTTTATATCTGTTCCGGTTCAGTATTACTTGAAAGAAAATGATGGTGTGTTTTTGTTACTTTTTCTTTCAACATCTTAGGCAATGTTTATATTCTGTAAAGTCTTAATATATTCCTTCTTTTTTCGTTCTTTTCAGTCGTACAATAATATCTTTTTAAAAATAAAAAGGAGTTATATATTCTTGTAAGTGGGGGAAAAACTCTATTACTGATAATAAATCACCGCCTCCTGTATTATATACCCACTTCTTTCTTTTTCCCTTCTCTCTTGTTATAGCTGCTTTCAGCCATTAGAGGAGGCCAAAGATTGAGAAACATGAAACATAACTAGCACTTCTTAAGCTTGGTTGCTAAAATCATCTGGATGGGGAAATCTCATAGATTCTCTTCCAGAAAAATAACAGAGCAACAATAACAGAGAAACAAACCTTTTGCAACCTTTCACCAAAACACAGCAAGAAATCCTTGAGGACCAACCCTTTGAAAGAAAATATTGGCAAAGGGGGGCTCCCCACAACTGGCCTAGTTTGAAGATTGCAACAGCCCTTTGCGGGTGGGAGTCCTGGCACTTGAAGGATGTGCTGTCAACTCATTGAAAGCTTTTTAGCGCCTCTCTTTTTTTCTGCCTTCCTTTAAATAAAAGGATTTGCAGGTGTTGGATGTTTATGTGCAAGAGTAAAGGAATATGGGATGTGCTGATGTAGAAGTGACGGTTAAGTGAGGACATCTATTTTTTTTTCCTGATTCTTAAATACCAGGATCCAGACACTATGGTAGAGTAGCCAGTAGCGGTTAAGGCACTGGGATAGAAACCAGGAGATTGTCAGGCCTGTCACAGCTTGGATGTTTAGGAAAGAAAGACCCTCGGCTCCATTTCTTTGAAGTAAAAGTTTCTTTTGCTAAAGCCAAGCTGGATTTAAGTATTCCCCCTGCAAAGTTTGCGCTTTCCCCCTTTCCCTCCCTGCTTGGCCAGTCCATCAGTGTCCAATAGCATTCACTTCTGATGTTTTGAAAACAGCTTTCGCTCCTCTTTGGTATCATTTTCACATTACATTCTCAGGCTCTGTCCTTGATCGGCCAGTTTATTCCGGATCGACATCTCTGATTCCTGTCGTCTTGTCCTTCCCTTCCTTTTTATGGTCCGATCTCATGCCCATTCCTTATTTCCCCAGTTTCCTCCCCTCCTCCTTTGCATTTTAGGGGCAGGATGCCTGCGAAGTGGTGTGTGCTGAAGATGACATGGTGATGAGTTCTAGTCCCACCCTTTGGCACGAAGCCAGTTGAGTGATCTTGATCCTTCCTTCACTCTCAGCTCCAGGAAGCAGTTGATGGCGAACCACTTCCAAAACCTTGCCAACCGCTGGGACTTGTCCAGGCCTTTGCCAGGAATCAAAAGCTGACTTGAAGGCGCCCACACCCACAAACACAACGGTAGAAAAACCCAGGAGCTTCAGAGATATCCAAGTGGGCATTAGCACCAAGACAGAGAAGCACTTGGCTACAAGCCTCCTGGTGCGTAAGATCTCAACTGGCAAGTCTCTACTGGTTTTCGGAAAGGCTGGTGTCTCACACATATTTTCTTGTTTAGTTGCAGTGACACCTGTTTTTTAGGATGTGGGTGATCCAGCCAGCCTAGGCGGAAGCTGAGATCAGAGTCATGCCACCAGATTATTCCCCGAGATAACCCATGGATGTGAAAGTTGGACTTTGAAGAAGCCCAAGAGGGAAAGCATTGACCCCTTTGAACATTGGTGCTGGAGAAGACGCCCGAGAAGAAGATATCGGCACGGCGGAGAAGAAAACAAACGGATGGATCATTGAATAAATTCACCCAGACTTTATCCTGGAGGCCCAGATGGTCAAGCTCAGATTACCCTACTTTACGCACTGTGTGTGAAGACCCAGCTCTCTGGAGAAGGCTGGGATAGATGGAAGGAAAGAGAAGAGGAGGAGGAGGACCAGCAGCAAGGCAATGAATGCACCATTGGAAGACCTAAAGGAACAGTTGAGGCAGAGATCTCTTGGAGAAGGTCTATGGGATCATTGAGAGTCAACTGCTACTTGATGACAGATCGTGAATTGCTTCAGCAACCAAAGAACGTTCAACCTGCAGCCCTAATTTAGAAACAACATCATTGCAATTAAGATGTATTTTTAGGGTTACACTTCCAACAATGTGAGCGTATGTTTTGAGTAAAATTGCCTGTCTGTTTTGGTTTCCCTTTTCTTCTCTTCTCAAGGGAGGGAGGGAGGATAGGAAGGAAGGAAGGAAGGAAGGAAGGAGAGATGAAGGAAGGAAGGAAGGAAGGAAGGAAGGATCAGTTTGGCAGTTTTCTGTGGAGTGCCATTTCCTATTTCCTCCATGTCCCCTTTGTACAACTTGGGGAGAGAAATGAATTGTAGCACACAACCAGAGTACCAATTTGGTATTTCTGAGATGTATGGAAGCCTCGGAGACTGGGATCCCCACCCTTTTCCACGTACATTTCCTCTGTGACCCCAGCACTGCTAGACAGGATGTGAGAGATGCAAGCTGGCTCAGCTCACCTCCACCAGCACCGGCCCAAACCAACGTCTGGATGCCTCCCTCTCCTCCCTCCAGCCTGCTTATTTTTTCCCCAACCGAGTCAGCTGTTGCCTTCTTCCCCAAAACATGGGACTCCCCCTGCTCCCCCGGGGATAAAGTGCAGCAGAGGGGGAAGAGACACAAACTGGGGGCTCCTGGAGGGAAAAACCCAGCTTCACTCTTCACTCCCTTCCACCCGGCGCGGTGGCCCCACCCTGCTCCATCCCACTCGCTGGAAAGCAGCAAGAAGGGCCTTGTCATCAGAAAGCATCAAACCTGTCCGGCCGGTTTGTGTGTTTTCCTCCCCCCGCTTTCCCCAAACGTTTTTGGAAGTGGAAGCGGTTCAGCAAGGACACAGACTTGCTCGGCTGAAGGCGGAGAAGCGCCCAGCAGAAGTGGTCCTAAGCGCTCTTCTTCTTCTTCTTCTTGTCTTCTCCTGGACAAGCTGGACTTGGGGCCTGGAAAAAGATCTACAGGGCTGGAAAGGTGGTTCCTTTGCTTGGGCAGAAAGGAAGAAAAGGCCTTGTTTTCCCCAGGGTCCTCTACCTTGTTAGAGTGTCTGGGGATAAGGCCCACTTGCGACACGACGCTAGTCTTGGACCCGGCCGGATCCTGGCATGGGACATGTGCTCCTCTTCTTCCTGGCCTTTGCCTTTGCCCGCCGAGATTTGGTCCGCTCCCAGCAGTGTTCTGCAGATGGAAACCAACTCTTGACCCTCCAGTTCGCCGATGTGGGTGCTGATCAGCGTATCCCTGCTCAACACCAACCTCCAGGACCTCTGGATCCCCTCTATCACCTTGTCCACAATTACCTGGATGTGGTCCAACAGAACCCTTTCCCCACAGGTAAGCCTTGTTGATAGGTTTGGTCCAAGTGCCGCTCCGAATTGCGGGGGAAACTAACACGGTTGTGTGTTCTCAGGAATAGTTTAGTGAGCAGAATTGGGCGAGTGACGCTTTTGATAGCATGGAGGTCAGCATTGGTTGCCTGCTAGAACTTGGGGACTGCCGATCTAAAAAGGCACAAGAACTTCTCTGCTGGGGAGGGGACAGGGGTCAGAGGTCAGAGAAGAGCAATGAAGGTGATAAGGGATGTGCAGGCTGACACATGACACACACATCTTACCACGAGTGCTTAAGGGAACTGGGTATATCTAGACTATCGAAAAGAAGGGACTAGAGGTGACCTGATAGCAATCTTGGAGCAGCTGAGAGATTGCCGCAGAGAAGAGGGGATTGGCTTACTCTCCAAAGCACAGAGCGAAGGAGAAGAAGCGGTGGGTAGAAGCTCATTTAAGAGCTCCAACTTGGAACCAAGGAGAAATTTCCTGATAACGAGAGGAAATTAATCCGTGGAAGGGCTTGCTTCAAGAAATTATGGGTACTTCACTATTTGAAGTTTTCAAGAAGAGATTGGGCAGCCATGTGTCTGGAATTGAACAGGGTCTCCTGTCTTAGGTGGAGGGTTGGACTAGATGACCTTCCATGAGTCTAAGAATGTATCTACAAAACCTTTGGGAAGCAATTTCTGTGGGCAGTTCCAGTCTGATAGCCAATTCCTCCCGTACCTTAGAGAAGGCCAGTATAGATCTATTCCTTCTCAGACTGGCTTGCATTTTGCATTGTCTTGCTAACTTGCAAATAAGCCACATATATCTGGGTTCATATGTTGTGCTGAGCTTAAACCTTACACATCACATTAAGGCTCGGTGCAGTGTGTGAATTCAACCTGAGAATTCTTTGCCCGGGTTGTTTTCAAGATTTCCCTCCAAACTTCCAAAGTGATATTTGTATTCTTCCTCTCTCAAAATACAAGCATACCGTAGGCTTCATTAGGGGAATTTTTTGGAAGGTTTTAACTCATTTAAATGTAGTTAAGCTTCCTTCAATCCTAGTTCCTAGTGATTAAGAAACTTCTTTCTTTTCTTAGTTTTGAGACAGGACAGAGCGATGTGTGCAATTACATTCAAGTATATATTACAAATTAATATTACAAGTATTTAATGATTTTTTTTTTGTCAGAATGTAAGCCAGTAGCTTCTAATGATAGACTTGGCAGGATAGAAACATGTTACTTGATGAAACATGTCAGAATATTCAAAAATAATATTTTGTTTCCAAACAATTTGGGAAATCCAGTATATTACACTTGCGTGCCTCAACATTTTGCAACATTTTGTTCTGAGGACGGAGCATAAGTTGTTAAATAGTTCAGTCTGATTTTCTTTTTTAAGAATTGCGGGAAAGAAAAGTTGTACCTGAATTGTATATTAATATCCAAATTATATCGCATCTACACGCATAAAACTAATTAATTAATTACTATATTACATTCTCTTTCAATATCCCCCAGCGTTATGGGACTGAGGGACCGACAAAAAAATGGATAGCTTGGGAGCACCACCATGCTATAAGATCCAAAGCATTCATTTAACAGATGATTTTAACTGGCTTTGGCAGATAAAATAAAACCCGGCACAAGATACTTTAAAATGCAAATAATCGGCATGTCAAGGTTCTAAGTAATAGATCCATAGCAAGCAGAACTCCAAGGCAGGTAGATTCCTCCAAGCATAGCTTTGTTGATTATATCATATCGGCACAGATCTGGTGAAAACCGACTCTGAAGGTTCCTGCGGTTTTCACCTAATTAAAAGTGAAAATTTCCCCCTTTTTCAAAACAATCGGTCACATGGTCCAATCCTGCTTGGTGACATCACTCCTCCTTCCTCTGACCAGGCGTGAGGATGTCCTTGGTTCCCAAGAGAAAGTATTTTGTTTTGGCTACAAAGTCCCAGCTGTCTCGATCCCCCCAGCTCTAGGGTGGCCACATGGAAGCTCCAAGATGGCTTCGGTCAGGTCAGCTTCAGGGTTGACACAGCTCAATAAAAGCCACAAAGTAGACACAGGTAATCTCTGGAAACTGGAAAAGTCTGCCAATCACCGGAATGATGCCAAGTCAGGCACATTGAGAGGTCCAGGTTTCTGGGCTCTCTGGGAAGCAATGCTGACCAGCCCAACTTCCTACGGGTGCTGCCATGTTACACCCCATGTTACACATCCCTTGTGGGATCCCCTCCAGGAGCTATTAGTTCCTGCAGCCAAAGGGGACCCCCGAAGGGAACTGACCCTGGGATGAGCTGAAGGCCGTCCTTGTTCTCCCTCCATGAAGCAAACAGCATTGCCCCCCCAGAAGAAAGACACGCTTAAGATAAAGAAGACCAACCTATGGTTTAGGCCTCACTTGGAAGTCCTTAAAGAAGGGGATCTGGTGATCAGGAGAGCGCCTGGCATCCCAGACGGTCTAGCTTTGATAAGTATCTTAGGTAATTAACTTTGGCAATAATTGCCTCCTGCCACTCCGTCTGTTCCTGCTTCCCCCTCATTTCCTTCATGCAGCCTTACTTAGGAGTAGAACTTGCACAAGGAGGTTGGAGAGAAAAGCCCAAATCTTCCCTTGGCCCATTCAGAAGGTCCGATCACAAGAGAAGAGGGGTCTCTCTTTCTGCTTTTAAAATAGCCTTGTTTTATTCCACAGAGCTGTTGAAGGATGTCCTGAATGAGCCACCGACTGCTACACCTTCTCAGGTGAAATAGTGAGCCTGGAAGAGTGGAATGTCCCCTGCCCCTCTTTCTTCAGGGGTCTGTTGTTGGCCGTCACAACTCAACATCTACAACAATCCTCCCCCATCTCTCCAAGTGCTGGATTGCAGCTCCCAAAATTCCTGGACGGATGTTTGGAAATTCTGCAAGAGAAATGCTCAGCCCACCTGGGAATCTTCCCAGTTTGGCTGCCTCTTTATTTATAGAGAATGACTTGTTTATGAATGATAGGAAATATAAGAATGGGAAATATACGACAAGGTGGATAATGAGTAAAGATTTGGCGTTCGTTAAATGGGTGCACTGGGTAAGGGGCGATAGAAGATTTTGAGGAAATTGGAATGATTTTAATTTTTAGATTTTTAGATTTACATTTAGATATTTTTATATACAAGATGGTGAAGATACCTAATACCGCCTCCTCCTCTTTTTCCCAACCAACAACTCTGGGTTGAGTGGAAACTAAGAGCTAACCTAAAGTCATCCAGCCGCCTTTCAGGCTTAAGACCGGACTAGAACTCCCAGTCCGCTGGTGATCACCCCAAAGACACCCAGCTGGTTTTCAAGCCCAGAGTGGAGACTAGAACTCACAGTCTCCCAGTTTTTAGTCTTGTATCTTAACTACTATGCCAAAGTGGTTATTACATTTAAATTAGATAGAAGGATCTTTTGATCATGGGGTTGCCTTTAGCCAGGGTTGCTTCTGTTCCTTAGAAGAAGTAGTCAGAGGAAATCTCCACCTCTTGGTTTCTAGCCCACCAATCAACCTCCCAATTCTATTTAATTTAACAGGGCACGGGGAGAGGGGTAAGAGAAATCGTCCTCTCAAGATTATTGTTATTATTTTCATTTGCCTTGCTCCTCAGATCCTTCGCTACCAGGCAGGATATGTCATTTGCGCTGCAATTGCGGTTCTCTATTTTGTGACGGTGCCCCTGGTTGGGCTGAGCCTTTGCTGCTTCCAGAGAAACCGGCCCTGTGCTGGACGGATCAAGGCCTATCGTCGCTCTCTGCTCTGCCAGCGGAACCTTCTCATGGTCTGCCTGCTCCTCACCACCCTCCTCATCCTGTGAGTGTGAGGGGCTGAGCCAGATCCGTTGCCATCGTGTTGCCCCCATAGAGATTTGGGGATCGGGAAGGACAGGAAGGTGAAGCCGCACACGAGAGATGCCAAAACTGTAAATTCAAAAGCCAGGAAATGCTGTTCTGGAATACAGGGAAGCCAAACAAAATAGCAATCCTGGTCTAAGATATGTTGACTTTTAAGACATGTGGACTTCAGCTCCCAGAATTCCCCAGCCAGTGTAGGTAACTCATGCTGGCAAGCATACCTAATGCTCCTTTCTCCTCCTATTTTCCCAACAAGAATATTTTTTTTCTATTTTCCAACCTAGAATAGACTTACACTGGGATACATTTAACAAATAAATAACAAGCAAGCAACAAATCAGTGGACTGAGGGTGAGTAACTGATCCAGACAGTTTCCATGCCTAAGGCAGGACTAGAACTCACAGCCTCCTGCTTTCCAGGCCAGCACCTCAATCTTACACCAAAGCTGTAGTCACCCAATTTGAGAAACGCTGGTTGCTGAGAGGGATCTAGTCCTGAAATCTAGGAAATCTAAAGATCTTGTCTTGAAGTCCTCTCTTTTCTGCAAGGTCTATCGCATGAGCCACGGTGGTGCAGTGGTGAGAGTGCAGTACTGCAAGTTACTTCTGCTGACTGCCAGCTGCCTACAATTTGGCAGATTGAATCTCACCAGGCTCGAGGTTGATTCAGGCTTCCATCCTTCTGAAGTGGGTAAAATGGGGACCCAGATTGTTGGGGCAAAAGGCTGACTCTGTAAACCGCTTAGAGAGGGCTGTCAAGCACCGTGAAGTGGTATATCAGTCTAAATGCTCCTTCCTTCCTTCCTTCCTTCCTTCCTTCCTTCCTTCCTTCCTTCCTTCCTTCCTTCCTTCCTTCCTTCCTTCCTTCCTCTTCTTCTT